TCGAGGGGGTTTTGAAAGGGGATTCAGTCGTTTTCAAGCTTCAAGAAAACCGTGTTAATGTACCTACCTATCGGTCTCATATTTGGACAACGTACGTTCAACTCTGCTCTCGGTGGTACAATCTACAAAACAAAACAATATACCACATTGCTGTCGTTACCAAACCATGATAAATATCTGATAAAGCACTACAAAAAACAACACTCAATTATTTGTCACAATAAAACAACAAATCTTAGCATTTCTGTGACGATTCAAACAACTTTGAAAGATAGTATAGTGTTTGGAAATCGTCGAATTCGTGCGCGAATAGTACCCAGATAGCACACAATCGCCTAGGGTCATCCTCAATGTGTCGCCAAACGCCTAGAGAGGAAGTTATGTATTCTACAACCTAAGAACATCATCAGGCGTAGATTTAGCTCCGTAATTGTCCTAGAAAAGTTATTTCAGTGACAGCCCTTGGCTGCATCGGATTGCGTGCCTACGGATGTCTTCAGATGGCATTCCATGAAATAACGTGTCGACGAAGCCAAAAGGAAGAAGAAGAAGAGCTAGAAATACTAGAAGTGAGGTTATGTCCCATGATGATATTTCTCTGAGAAATTAATGAGATAATAAGAAATACAGGTGATTAATTAATCGAATCATTGATAGTAGGTATTGGACATGAAATATTGAGTATATTATTATTTTATTTCAGGAGGTTATTGAGAACACAAACTTGATGATATCATCAGAGCAGAAATGTTTCATTCCAAGATATTTTGGCTTCTTCGGAATCTATCACATATTGTATGATGTCTTGAACTTTCAGTGGATTCAATAAAGATAGGTACCTACCTGAATCAACTCATTGATAATAGGTACTGGACATGAAATATTAATACATTATTATTTGTTCCAGGAGGTTATTGATGAGAACACAAACTTGATCATTTTTATCATCAGATCAGAGATGTTTGATATTCCAACATATTTTGACTTCTTCGGAATCTATGAAAGATTGTATGCAGGCTTCAACTTTCAGTATAGATACAATAAAGGTACTAGGTAGGAATCAAATCATATTGATAGTAGGTATATACCTACTGGACATAAAATATCAATACATTATTTGTTTCAGGAAGTTATTGAGAACACAAACTTGATGATATCATATTATCAGAGCAGAGATGTTTCATTCCAAGAAATTTTGGCTTCGGAATCTATAAAAGATTGTATGCAGGCTTAAACTCTCAGTAGATTCAATGAAGGTAGGTATATAAATCGAAATATTGATAGTATAGGTAGCTACTGGACATGACATATTAATACATTATTCATTTCAGGAGTTTATTGAGAACACAAACTTTTGATGCTATCATCAGAGCAAATATGTTCAAATCAAAGATATTTTGGCTTCTTCGGAATCCATAAAAGATTCTATGCAGGCTTGAAATTTCAGTAAATTGAGTATCAGAAAGTATGTCCAGGGTTCAGAAATCACAAATGATAACAAGAAGAGAACTCACAACAGACTTAGAACAAAACAAAAACCATCATAAAGTATTATTATTATCTGTTGATGATGAGTTTTCTCTGAGGAAGAAAAGAACAAAGGTAATAGGTGGATCAAATCATAGATATTCCATGGATATGAGATATTGAATCATTGTTTGTTTCAGAAGGTTATGGAAAACACAAACTTGATCATCTATAAAATATTGTATGAAGGCTTCAACTTTCAGTAGATTCAGCATTAGGAAGCATATCCAGAGTTGAGAAATCAAAAACAACATAGAGAAATATTACCAATGGGCAATAACTTCTAGTAGAACTCAACAAGAAGCTGAGATACATTTTTTCAAAACAAAACTCGAAAATCTTCACCAATTAGTTATAAATGATAGAATGTAAGTTTTTTATTTGAACATATTATTATTCCAGGGAAATTTCGCAAATATCATGATATCCATATTTTTTCAATAAAATTTCATTTTTATCAACCTATCCCTAGAAATTTTTGAAAAATACCTGAAGATGTTCCCATAATGTCCTATACATGTCCCAGAAGACCTTATAGGGATGTTCTAAGACGTTATTAGGATGTAGAGAACGGTAACAGGAGGACGGGCTAGGGACGTCCTCAGGCTCGCCCTCGACGTCCTGAGGACATTATTGTAAACGCCTCAGAAGGGCCTCAAAAGGTATTTGTGCTATCTGGGTAATCATTGGTCGACAATTGAAAGGAAATGCACATTCTCATACCAGAAAAGAATGGGATGATATGTATCATTGCATTTTATGAGTAACTACCAAATACAGGCAAGACATAACCACTTGTTATATGACCAAATATCAATGATGACTTGGCAACTGAATACTCTGCGCTGTCTAATGAACATGTGAAGCGATGTAGCCACGTTTCGCACTGAATCTCCTTTGGTGTGAATAAACACTCATACACATCTATCCCATTTCACCAATTTGGAGAGCAATAAATCATGATCATAGCCAGACAATTGCTGTTATTTCCTGCTGATGTACTTCGATATTGTCGCAACTCAGATGGTTCTAGTAGGTTATATGGCATTATTGAGAACAAACGGTGCCTCCACCACGTGTCGCAATTCAGATGGACCTTCACCACGTGTCGCAACTCAAACATCGCTTTTACTTCGATGTATCAACTTAAGAGTACTCGCTTGATTATTTCGCAAGAGGATTTTCAGTATTTCATCACCCAACCACATTTATTCCGAAATAGAGAGAATTGTTTTTCAAACAATTTATTCAATCCCGGAAACTTAAAAATATGCCAAAAAGGCCGAACATCAAAGAACAAACATGAAACGAGCGAACAACAGAAACAAGATAATGGTTCTTGGTACTTGCCTCATCGATTTGGGATCTATTTATATTTGAAATCGATGCTAGATTCGCAATTTTCCGCAATGGAAATGGCCGTTATCTTTCGGTATTACTTACCTAGGTATTATCGCACGGTGAGCAGTTTTTGCAAATTCTAGAGGAACTGACGTCTTTGAACTCCTATGACCTGATAGAAACTACAATGTACTAGATGTTCTAATTTGGAAAAGTTAATTTATGATGCAAGATAGACATTTGTACTTCTTGACAATATCTTCTGGCAACTGATTCGTGACGATACTAGTTCTGAGTAATAAATTGCGACCTCTCGAATAGGGAAAATGATAAGAGCATCAGTGTGAAGATGAAGAATAGAAGATATGAAGCAATCAGTCCAGTAGACCGTTGGACGATATTTATAGGTAGACTCGCGAATTTCTGAGTTCGTTTCTGACGAGTCGCTCCTGACATCAGAGGTCGTAAAGGACCTACAGGCAACACAGAACACAGTGCGTTCACCTGAGACTCGAGTCGAGTACCTACTCTTAGACAAGGGAAGACCAGTCAAAAGTATGCGCCACTATATACTTTTTCTCTCTCCGTCAGATGGCGTCATGGGTCGTATTTCCCATGAATCCAAGAGATAACGTTGAAATATTGTGTTTGGTTATACCATTCGCACAGAGATTTCGATTCTCGTATCACGTTTTCTGGTATCGAAAATGGGAATCTAGTATTGTGTGTGACAGTGGCGAATCCAGGATTTTCTTCACTGGGGGGGGGGGGGGGTTGAGAGGGCGTATAGCAGCGGATTCAGATAAGATTTTTGAAGAGTACCTACTACACGGTCAGAAATGGATCACGTTTTTACATTTAGACGAATAGTTTTCAGAGTTTCGAAAATATGAGATTCAAGCTTGGCAATGATTTTGGATTTTATCTGAAAATTCTGAAATATTCAATATTACTCCCGATTTTATAAAAATTGACCAAACATTTTTGAAATTTGAACGAGAACATTTTTGGATTCTGCTGACCATTGAGTATGATGAAGAATGCCTTCGAATAAATGCTTTGTCAAACTATATTATTCAGGGTATTTGAAAAAAGGTATGGTATCTATTTCAATTTCACTCTCTATTGCTATATATACGGGCAATTTTTGTGAAATGGTTAATTTTTATACGTTTTTCATCCCAACAATTAAGATGCCGCATCTTTGGAAACACCCTGTATTATTCATCACGAAAAGCAATTGTAAAACATAATATAGTGTTTGTGACAACTGTAATTTATTATATTGATGAACCATGTTCAATAGATATAAATTGAAGGAGATAGAAACTTATGTGAGTTAATGACAGTTTATTGCCAAACAATTATTTCGGTGATTATTCCACTCATTTCAGAATACACGTTTTTGATTGGTTGAAATATCTGTGATGTTTTCGTTTTTGTATATCGACTGTTTATCGGCTAATGGATACCAAAATGACATGGATGTCATAATGTCATAATATTTTCATATTCTTAGATAAATAGCACTCCACACACTAAACTTCAGACAAAGTGGTGATAGGTACTGAATTTTAATTTGTATCGAATAATTTTAGACCAACTTTTGTATGATCGGCATTTTGAAAAAAGCATTTTTTATAATTTTATATCAACCTAACCACTCACCATTTCACACTAGCGTCTAGAGACAGAACGCATCAAATATTGCGAGCGATTCCAACCACAGACGAGACGAGACGCGCGACAATATTTGGTGAGTCCTGTGTCTAGTTACTTGTCAACTACTGATATAGATAGCAATGTATCGTCACGTATCGTTAGTTGCATAACCGACTGCAAATGAAAATATGACATGAAAGTATTGTTTTATTCATGAAATAATGAGTGAAATAGTCTTCACAAATACAGCTCGTTTAATTGATGATTATCGAAAATCCATATTATTTCTCGAAACAAATCATGCTGCTTTCAGGCAACAAAATTTGTTTATCAAATTCGAAGGGATTTGTATTTCGATAATCATCAATACACTTGCTGCATGTATCACACACGAAAATATTGACCAAATTCGGGCAGGACTATTTCATACATTGCCCCAACACTTATGTTAACCGTTATTTTTTTTTCAGATGATCACTCAGATTATGGAAGCACCGTCAGCGGTAGTACGGGAAAATCTCCTGGACCGATTTTTCCCGCCCCTACTTTTACATTTCCGGGCCAACCCGGTCCTGGTACGGTGCTTACACACAAAGCAGCAGTCTATTACCATCACCAACTCAGTTTACAAGAAGATCAGGGTATTGATATGACTCAGGTGAGAATTCCTCTAGAATATTTCTTTGAAATTTTCTTGTCCGAAACTCATTTTTTCAAACTGATCTGCTTGGATTTCAATGCAGTATGTGTCAGTCCATCAAAAGTTTAGAAAATACTTTCTTGTTACAATGATTCAGTTAGTAGTAACTCAAGAAAAGTCACACTGTTGCAACTCTCAGACCATGAAGATTTTGACGAGACGGTTTCTCGATCCAGAACCATTTTGTGTAATAATATGTTTTAATTATGTTGTCAACATTTCTACCTCGTTCGTTTCTGATTTGCCTGGCTGGTATTGGGGCCCTGGAAGAGAAGGCGGTATGGAGGGTACTATCATTCGCCAAGCTGTGTACTGGGCATGAAGTTGCTTCCAACAAATCGTTGATATGGAGTAGAAATAGTGTTGGTGCTAGAATTGATCCTTACGGAACACCAGCATTAATGATAAAAGAGTCAGATGAAACTCCGTCGACCACTACATGGATAGACCTGTTTGAGAGAAAACTAGCTAGCAGAGAACATAGCTGGGGAGGCAAGCCATAAGATGGAAGCTTGGCGAGGAGTCCGTGGTGCTAGACTCGATCGAATGCCTTGGAGATATCAAGTGCCACGACTAAGGTTTCACCATATTTTTCAATAGATTGCTACCATATATGAGAGACGTCAGCGAGCTGGTCACCAGTTGATCTCTGATGGCGGAAGCCATATTGCCTATCGTTGATAATACCTGAATACACCTTTTCAGCTTTTCTCATAGTGACCTTTTGAAGCATTTTTATAGAGAACTCGGACGCACTGTAAGAATTCCTTCTTCAGGTTACTTCAAAAATATCTTTCTTTAGTCAGATGATAGAATGCAGGGATAGAGTGTACTCATAGAGGGAACTGATGTACCTAGCTTCCTGCTGTCTATGTTATATCATATGATCAAACATCTGCTTCAACTGCATCCATGTAAGATGATATGAGAATACAGTGTGCACACTTTATGCACACAGAAGAAGTCGATGTATCTCTACTTCAATTGTATGCTAGATGATAGAATGCAGACATACTGTGTGCACACAGAGGAAGTAAATTGGAAAGGTTTCTGAAGGGAACTCCATGGAGGAATTCCCTTGGTTACAATACATAGCGATTTCTCTATATATTTATCAAGGTTTCACTAATTCTATTGATGTTAGGGGTTAATAGACGGATCTACTTCGCACCCACAAACTATCCATAATATTCCAATATCCTCTAATTGCATCCTGATTCATTTTTCAGTCTCCCGGAAGAGATAGTCCAGGATCGTCTAGCGGTAGCGCGGGGTCCGGTTCTAGGCACAGCACAGCTTCTTTGGATAGCGGAAGAGCTTCTTACCATCCTCTCAGCACCGCCGGAAGGAGCACCATTTGCTCCTCCAACAGCCCCAGGTGTTCCTTGAGCTCTTGCTCCATCGGTTCGGATCAGGGAAGGATTGAACGGATGATACATCAAGGAGTGCCGGTAAGTCACATTGCATGTCTTTTCTGAAGTATTCGCGAGATTCACGAAGTGGGCGACATCTACGACATAATACGAACTTTAAACTGGGGGAAAACAAACTGTTGTCTATGGATAAAGTGCATAGACTACATTGCATTCAGCTTGCTGTAGCTGTAGTCAAACTTGTCAGTCACTATCGGATAATATGTCTTCAAATTCCAGTCAAGCAATACGTAATTACCAGATTTTATAATCATCAGTAATTTTGATTCACCTTTGTACACATACAAATAGTACCTGTCAATTTCCACCCATTTTTCTATAATTTTTGGCTGCCTAAGATAATATGATTAATCACTCCATCCATAATTTCAACGTGAGTAGAGAAGATAATAATAAGAATGATGGTAATGAAAACCAACAAAACATCGAGAATCGAAAGATCATAGTTATGGTTATGTTTTGCTGGCAGTGAACCAGTACTACCAAATTACTACAATTCGAAGCTACTGCTACTCTATAGTGTTCCTAAATTGCTTACAGTGGCCAGTAATATCAGCAATATCGGAACATGACCAGAAGCTTTCAGGTTGTTAGGTTTGCAGAAACATTAGAATTGATCTTGGTTGAAGGGCAGCGAATGGAAAATGATTAATATAGACTAGAAGAACAAAATGAAAGACACTAGCTCATTAGCATATATGTATCTTTCAGATCTGACATTTATTTTTCCATCCACCACCAAGTAATATAATTTCTCTGGTAAGGTGAACACTAACATATCTTGATTGTCAACCAGATCAATAGGTAAAAGTTCTGGTTTGTATACCTATAACTCATTTTCGCCAAAGATCGAGTTAGGCCTCATCATAATATTAGTTTCAACAACAGTTAGCGTACTGTACACTGAATAATGCCCCTTGTGTTTTTCAGGACCAAGAAATAATTCATTCATGGCTAGTAGACCTCCAGTTCGAAGAGTATTTTCCTCTCTTCATTTCGGCTGGTTATGACCTTCCTACCATTGGTAGGATGACTCCGGAAGACCTGACCGCCATAGGAATCAAAAAACCGAATCACAGAAAGCGACTGAAGGCTGAAATTGCACAGCTCAATCTGCCTGACAACCTGCCTGAATTCATACCGGTAAGTGATTCGTGCGACAAGTCGTTTCTTGTCAAAGAGTAATTGTACTGGCATTATTTTAATTGGTCGAGTCTCTCGAACGAAGTACATCGATGTTGATTGGGAGATATCGAGTGGATGATTGCTTCTAGTGTTTTTATTGCACTAGTAACGATTGATCTAATAAAATACAAGCAAGATCATCGTTCTTCAGATGTAGGTAGTGGAGAAATAATGGCAAAGCAAGGATTCAGACATATTCTTACAACTTCGAGCAGTAATTAAATGTCACTTTTGATCAAATTTGAAGAGATGTATTTGATTTGAATATACTATTTTGAAGACTTTTGGCACAATGGTCTCATGGTACACTGTCTTATATAGGATATTCGACTGGATTGCCCTGACACGGTATCGTTCCGACCTATCTAGATCAGGTGCATGTAGATAATGCAAATTATTCTGGCACTTCATTTATGAAGTTCAATACTGACATAATGAATATTCGACTGGTATGTTTATGAAAACATGCAGTTGGATCCTATGGCTGGATCAAACTGGATATAACCAATGATCTATTTGCAATATCGACAAATTCTTTGAATTCCAAAGTACGGAGAGAATAATTGTTTGCGACACATAATGAGTATGGAGACATTTTGTGCATAATTAGATGTTTCAATGGTGTATACAGTCTGGCTTTTAAAAGATGTGGCCGCCGGAAAGAATGTGAGCGTAGAGCACAATGTAAATTTTGCGATCATCAACTATCTCTGTTAATTCAAAAACGGAATCATAAGCGCTGGCTGGAAATATGGTGGTATAAGTTCAAAAGTACAAGTCATCTCATATCATTCATGATTAGACGAAATCGACATCTGCAAAACCGAATTGATTAGATACACACTTGAGCATCAGGAATTCACAATTGAAGATCCCAAACTAGAAGAATAATTGAAATTAGGATCAAAGAACATCTAGCACACTCAAATTATGAAACATCAGATGTTTCAGAACATAATTTTCAACCACAATCAATATACATACAGATATTAAGAACTCATAACTGATTAAACAATGTTGAAAATTAGACGCATATAGAAGCTCAGCACAAAAGATGATGAAAGGATAATATATTATCTTTATTATTCCCAAGAAACATATATGTTTATAGCAGGGAAAATTATGAAAGAGCAACTAAAAAACAAAAATTAGATAATCAGATAATCATTTTTAAATCATATACATAATACATATAATGTTGTTTCTTATTCTAGAGACTGTTGAATATAATTTCTTGAATTGATTCAGGATGATATGAAGAGAATCAAAGACATAAGTATTTTTTCAGTTCTTTTTTGAATTTCTCAACACTTAATTTTTTCTTTAGTCTGGCAGGTAATTCATTATAGAGAATTGTTCCATTGTATAAAATAGATCTTTTACCCATATCTGATTTAATTTTGATGAGAGTTAACATATCTTTTTGTCTGGTTATGTGTTCGTGTTTATGACTATTGACTTCAAAATTAAGATTTGAATGTTTATAATTATATTTGACGGAATGGATGAAATTCAATATTTTGAATTTGTAAATGGAGTTAATATCTAACAATTGCCTAGGTTTATAAAGATTTCTTGTTGGTTCCTAGTAATCTAGTTTGTATATACATTTAATAACTTTGTTTTGAAGGATTTTGATTGGCTTCATGATTGATAATCTAGCTGTACCCCAAACTGAAATCAATAAACCAAGGAAAAATATATACGAAGATATCAGTGTCTCGACAATCACCCTAATGCATCTCAACACTCAATCCCTCCGAAATAAAATGGAAGAAATTAACGTGTATTTGACTGAACGTGTGGAAAATGGTGAATCAATAGACGTTTGTTGCTTCTCTGAACACTGGTTGCATAAGAGTGAAGTGTCGATCTATCAGTTATCCGGTTTTGATCAAATTTCTTATTTTTCCCGCAGCAAATATTTACATGGTGGTGTAATAATATATGCCAATGAACGTCTTAAACTAAAATCATTGGACGCCAACATCAATGTACACCCCTTAGAGAAAGATATAGAGTTCACAACAGCCTGTACATATGAATACAAAATAATTTTCATCGCTGTCTACAGGAGTCCAGCAGGCGAGTATGACACATTTTTGAATATTTTTCACGACTTGCTTGATGAGTTATATCAAAAGTTCAAGAACTATACGTTCATTATTTGCGGAGACTTCAACGTCGATTTTAGCGTCGCAAGCAAAAACCTATCTGACCTACAATCAATATTACAGATGTTTCAACTTATTGTAACCATAAATGACCCTACTAGAATAACTATCAAATCATCTACAATAATCGATAATATTCTCATAAAATCCAATCTCAAGTACAAATCCTATGTCGAAGATATAGGGATTTCGGATCACTCCGCGCAAATATTGAAACTCCAACATCATTTTAGCCAACGTAGTGAAATCACGCCATTCATAACAAAACGAGTATTTAATAATAAAAATAATGAAACATTCTCGAACCTTCTTGGCGACATTGACTGGTGTTCTCTGTATGAAAGGAACGAAATACACTCTGCATTTGAAATGTTTTATTCCATCATCAGTCCCTGCTTCTCACAAGCATACCCAAAAATTAGATTAAAATTGAGGGATAAACAAACTCACAAGGAGTGGCTCACAAGAGGCATAAAACTGTCTTGCAAAAACAAAAGGTTTCTTCTGCAGTTAAAACGTTGGACTGATAATCAAACAATTCTTGAATATATAGCCGAATATCTAAAAATATTGAAGAAAGTTATCAAATGTGCAAAATGTACTTATTTTGGAAATAAAATTGAATCAGCCGAAAACAAAAGCAAAATCACATGGGACGTAGTAAAAACTTTAACTGGTAAAAGTAGTCGTTTATCTGATAACATACACATAAAAAAAGATAATACTCTAATCGATGACCCAGTCAACGTTGCCAACGAATTTCTAAATTTTTTCTGTAATGCCGGCACAAGGAACATTTCCAATGTCACGAGCAATTCATCAAGCGAAAACTACATTAAACGAATGAATATGAACTTTTTGAACTCCCTCAATTTTGCGCCCATCACCGAGTCGGATATTGTTAACTGCGCTAGTGCTCTGAAACCGAAAAAATCTTCAGGAATAGATGAAATACCAATGACTGTCATAAAAAATAATATCAACTTGTTGAAAGCCCCTCTCACGTTTCTTTTCAATATGTCTCTATCCACTGGAATATTTCCTAACTGTTTCAAAACATCTGTGGTAGTACCGATTTTCAAGAAGGGTGATAAATCCGAGATAAACAATTATAGGGCCATATCATTATTAGCAAACTTCAGCAAACTACTCGAATGGATAGTTAATTATCAACTCAAAAATTACCTGCACACCAAAAATATTCTGACAGAATACCAATTTGGATTCAGAAAAAACCTTAACACAACCGATGCAGCTTTTACGCTCTTGGAGAGATTACACAATATCCTGGAATCAAGAGAATTTCCACTTGGTATATTCTGTGATCTCTCCAAAGCGTTCGATTGTGTGGATCATGTAATTTTGCTGAATAAACTAGAATACTATGGGATCCGAGGGATTGTTAAACAGTGGTTTGAAACTTATCTAAGAGATAGGGAAATGTTGGTAAGAGTAGAATATAGGGCACAGAACAGAATCGAACACTATCAATCAGGAAGGGGTCGCATAGAAACCGGCGTACCCCAGGGTTCTATCCTCGGACCAACACTGTTTCTCATCTACATAAACGATATAGTCTGTAATTTTCCCAATATATCATTTTCTATTTTTGCTGATGACACTAGCGTTGTTATCAGTGGCCTCTCGGTTGATGACCTCACCTCAAAAGCGCAAATCACAGTGGATGGTTTAGCAGACTGGTTTTCGTCAAATAATCTATCATTAAATATATCAAAGACTCAAAATATTATGTTCAATCCATATAGAAATACCCAAGATATTGAGATTACCTTGAAGGAAGAAAGTCTTGAGTCGAGTAATTTCACAAAATTTCTGGGGATAACTATCGATAGCAAACTCAATTGGACGGAACATATAAACCAGTTGAACTCCAAACTCACCAAAGCAATATACGCATTAAGAACTGTCCAAGCGAACACAAATCCTCAGGTCTCAAAAATTGTATATTTTGCATACTTCCATAGTCTGTTGCAATATGGGATTGAATTTTGGGGTAACTCTGTCGGTATACAGTCCACGTTTATAATTCAGAAACGCGCGATCCGCACTCTTTTCAAATTAAATTATCGGGATTCATGTAGAGACTATTTCCTTCAAAATAAAATATTCACCTTAACTAATACATATATATTAAAGATTTCCCTATTGATTCACAAAAAACGTGATATTCTCCAATATTCAAGTCACCGTCACCAGTATTCCACACGTACAAAAAACATAAGTTTGCCTAACTACAACTACGAAAAAACTCGAAATGGACCCCTGTATACAGGGATAAAAGTTTATAACCATTTACCGTACCACATGAAGGAAACGTCCGCCAGAAAATTCAAACAGTCATTGAAAAAGTTATTACACCAGCATGTATTCTACAACCTCAATGAATTTTTTGCCTTATCTTTTCCGGAAAACTATATAGTTTGATCTATTATACTACTCTTGATACTTACGTTATTATTATCATCCATTTATTATTGTTGAAACTTCTCCTTTACTATATATCAATATGATATCATTCATTCATTCATTTATTGTCAAAATAACTAATTTGTAAATACTTTACTCATGTCAAAATTAACTGATTTGTAAATACTTTTCTCAGTGATACTATTCCTTATGCCAATGGCTATGTACACCCTGTTGTATATTGGAAATAAAATACTTACTTACTTACTTACTTACATTTCAAGTATTTCAAAGTGATTTGGTGTCTGATCCTGTAGAGTACTCCGATTACTGGAGATATTTTCTTTCTGATCGATTCAATATGTTTGGACCATGAATAAGTACTGTTTTGTTTTTATCAGGGTTCTTTGGAAGAATGGTTGAACCTGTTGAGGCTAGACGAATATTTGCCTGCCTTCTTGGAGCAAAATTATCAAACAGTAGACGACGTAACCCAGCTGACTTGGGAGGATTTGGAGGAATTTGGGATAGTGAAATTAGGACACCAGAAGAAAATAATGTTGGCTATCAAGCGGATAAAGGACATCAAAGCGGGCAAAAGGATCCACACCGACGCGAATCGAATTTATGCAACACAAGTGAGTATTTATCTGTGAGCACAATAATTGTGCTTGATCTCATATTTGTTAACCTTAGATAGGCCCAAATGTTCTTCATATTTATTGTTTATACTTTGAGCATGTTCATCAATTCTTTGATAACAGACTGAATGCAATTGAATTCTATTTTGATATTTCACATCAATTCAAATCTGAAAGGATTCCACTTTTTTTTTCACCATACACAATAACACGTTTTGCTTCTTTATATTTTTTCAACATGTTCAAAGTACCAACCAAATTGAGAATAAATATTCAATTTCAATATTCATTTTTATCTCAATAAGCACCACATTACACTGTTATGGTTGATCACACAATGTTTGTGTACCTATATTCATATAAGAGCAACCTACCTAACTTTTCAGTGATTTGATGGTTACAAACTAAACTAGTGTCATTTGAAGCAAGTCATTATCTGTCATTTGAATTCAGCAGTTGCAATTATGTTGAATAAAAACCATTTGTGGAAGTGACATCACAAGTACAGAAACTAAATCTACTCAAAAATGCATAACTTATGTTTAGAATAGTTCAATACAACCTTTTTTTTAATATACATTGGTTATTCTACTTTATTTTAACTGAACACAACTGAATCTCGAATGACAGATAACAGGTTGCCTGAAATTATCCAAAATGTTTGTTTTTTCACGGCATACTGGATGGATTGTTTTATTGTCAATATCACATCATTTTTAACCGTCTCTCTTCTTTTATTCACCTTTACTCATTTGTTGAATACCAAATGAGTATGATTTATTGACTGGCTGGGTTATATGAATTCAGAAGAATAAATAAGATTCAAACATGATGTATATTTCAAATCATTGAAAACGTAACTTGTACTTGCAAGTTAGATGTGAAATGTCATTTCACGGCTATAGACATGAACTTTTGCCTGCACACTAGCCCTAAGTTTATAACTTATCGTATACCACTACTCGCTCTCTCTACCTTGTGCATAGATTGAAAACACAATAGACAGGCACTGCTTATGTTAAATTTACCATCATTTCATTGGGTCGTTTTGTTTAATCGTGGGTTACTGGCCACCTGTCGCTGTGAAACCTGAACCTTGTTTTGTTGAACTGGGCCAAACCGTTCTCAACACCTGATACTTGCAGAAGCTACTCGAAAAAAAAACTTACATAGCTACCATCACCGTTTTTAATAAGTACCTCCGTTATTTTGCATCTTTTAGGAATAGTTTCTTCTGACGAGCTCTTGATCCTATTATATATGTTTTATCCTTGAAAATACCCTATATAATGTGATTTCAATGAGTACGACCCAATGAAACGCGTTGCTATCTGGAACATGAGCAGGGGCCATATATTTTGTATGTGACGGTTCTATCACAATGCGAAAACGTGAGGCGTAAGGTATGAAGCATAAGCAGTATAACCGCTCTTTACAATAATAATTGGAAGTGGGGGAAGACCGATTAAAATGCAGTATTGTGATATCCTGCAATGAGGCATGATATCTCATCATGGACATATCGTCAAAAAAGCTCTAATGAATGTTTTTTGAAGCTCTAAAGGAAACCACTAAACAACTTGAAAGTCTGCTTCTTGCAGTCACTTAACACAAACAAACAATGAACTGAACTTCTCATAGAAACCATACAGAACTTCTAAACAACGCAAATAATCAACTTCCGAGCTCGAATATACACAATAGCGCTAAATTCTATTGAAGAATTCGAAATTCGTGGCCATTGGAATATCGATTGGTCGATTTCGTTCCCTAAACATACAGAAGTTGGTGTCGCTCTCAGGACAGCTATATTTGCTTATAGAGAGGTTATTTGATCTTTTCAATATACACTCTTCATCAACAGAAGCAACCCATCAAACAAGACCGCTACTGGACCAAATTTTTCCGTATCTGTGAAATATCAGGTTAGGATATTTATAACTAACTTTTACAGATTTGACACTACCAACCATATCTATACACAAAAAGTAGTCTGCTTTTTGTATATCAAAATTACAATTGGACCATTCGAGGTTTCTCTAAAATCGAACCCGTAACATGTATATCGATTTTATGATAACTCCTTCAGTTACTGAGATAGCCTATGAAAACGCCCAATTTTGCCCACCCTGTACGACACCGTGTAAGAGAGCGGACCCTTTTGCATCACTATTTGCACTCAAAATAGAAATAGAGAACTAGCTATCTTGCGACAACACACGCCTCACCTCACGTCTTCGCCTCGTGCTGGAACCCCCGAAGCCCCCCCCGTATCCCTTGCTACCCTCGCTTACGCTGCATGTTTGTGTGCAAGGACGTCCTGGTGCACGCGCCCGTCGACCTGCCCGCTCCGCCCACAGGCGGGCCGCCCGTCCACACCACCTTCCGCTCGTTCCACCAGCCGTGGGAGATCGACCAGACGATGCGCCAGATGGCGGGAGCGCAGCAGTACGCGCCGACGCACCATGCCTACTATTGCACTGACATTGTTCCCATCAAGGTATTTCCCATTTCGTTTGTTTCTATATGTACTGTGTCGTGGTCCTGTGTCTCACGGTATTTGTGCGTGTGCATGAGTAACTGTTGATTTTTGTGTGTTTTGGCGTTATTATTCTCTATCACTCAAAGAAATTGATGGGTTAAATCTACCATATAGAGCATATGAAAATGAACCTATCTGGTTTAATAATCAAATCAACCAGCGAACAATAGTTGAATATGTTTAGTCACTATACGAATGGAATTGTTGTTTTGATCAAGAAAATTGGTTATCAACCAGATTTCAATCTCATAACATAATGAGTATCAAGTTAACCATAATTTTTGTCTCTTCACTTATATTTTGTATAGATAGCCATTATATTTGGCTCACCAACAGAGTGCATAGTAGATATAGGTATATTGACTATTTTTCAGGTTCTTGTACCACTGAATTGATACAGATTTCGAATGAACATCGAGTTTATTCATTACATGGTGGTCAACTTTACAAAATATCTACAGTATAATTCTCTTCATTTGTAATTTCTCGTCTCCGTTATTTGAATGTACTCTTCCATTTATCCTTTATGACACTCAATGGACGTTATTTAATTGCTACCACAGTTTATCATCTTCTTCCTGCAATAAATGTGTAGAATCGGAATATGAATTCAATATTGAATTGATTGAATTAATTAATAATACTCACCATCACATAATTACGATCATCTGATGAATTTTCCTCATCATGATTATTAATTGGGAAGACTACATCAGTGGTACTCCTTGACCAGAGATTCCAAAATTTTCTCAATCTTCTTGTATGGTTCTGGTACTTGTGATATTCAACCTCCCTGGGGATAAATCCACTTCTTCTGTACTAAATGATCCAAAAATTGAAGAGAGTCCTGAGAAAAAGAGACGAACTTTAGCAATAATTTCATACAGTCTGTTATGATTTACCAAATTCAGTACTAAATAACAACTCGATATTGAATACAGTAATTACATAATCGACTTACCAAAATCACTTCATTGCAGAATAGGTATAACGTGAAACGATAATATCAAAATAATATAATGCCACAACACAAAGAACAAAATAAGACGCCAGCAATAAAATCTCATTGTCAACCCTTCAAAGAAGGTTGGTTGATTTTAACCTCAAGAACTTCAGTTTTGATCTTCTCCTGAAGATGCTAACACAGTTAGCGAAACACGTGTCGAGGCGTTTAAAAAATCGGTTTGGTTAGTGGTAGTGGTAGTGTTAATTATATTTTCTAAAATGATAGGATTTTCATTACCATATGAAAGTACCTCATCGTCTGCATCAATAGTGTACTCAATTACTTCCTGTTTCAATTTTCGTGATATTTTGAATATACAGGGTGTCCCTAAAAAGTCTTTAAAAAAACTTACCACATATTCCTTAGGCCAAACCAATCCGATGAAAGCAAAATCACGTCAATACAAAGTTGCTTAGCTTGGGAGCTAGATGGCTCTGAAGTTACAAAGTTTCAAATTGTTTATGATGAATATCATACAATGGAAAGAAATCGATTCGAATATGAACCATGCCAACGTACCAGATTTGGGTAAAATCTCATGAGGCGTTTCAAAGTTATGAAGCAAAAACAGTTTGAAAATTGTAAAGTCAGAGTCATCTAGCGCCCAAATTAAGCAATTTTGTACTGAGGTAAGTTTGCTCGAATCTGATTGTTTTGGTCCGAGGAATATACAGGGTGTATCTAAATAACACCGAAAACATTCAAGGGGTGTTTCCTTCTGACATTCTAGCAAATAAAGTTCATATAAATATGTGTCCTAACTTGTTCCGTTTTTGAGATACAGGATGTTGAAGTTGGAAGTATCAATTGTTCCTATTTATTACCCCCCTGTATAAGCTTTCATGGTGCCAAAATTCTGTATGGAGAGAGACTGAGAAAGCCCCATAATTTCAAAATGATTCTAATTGGGGTTATTGAGTAATCTCAATGGAAGTCTTGAAAACACTTATATTAAATACTGTCTGTAGGTTAGTCGAGGAGGTGGTACATTCATTTTACTTGATTTTTTGGGAATTTCTCTCCTCGTTTCTATAAAATGAAAATATGCGTATTATTTCAATATATTTCTTTCCTTTTTTCAAACAAAGTGTCAATGACAAGCTACTGGATTTTTCTCTTAGGCTCCTTGATAAAAAAATTTGTTAAAAGCAGTGACATTTTGGGGCAAATCATCTGATTTGTCCCACTACAACCATATTGAAATAATATTTATTTCAAGAAACGTGGAGAGAAAATCCCAAAAAATCAAGTGAAGCTTATTTGGAGTCAAATCGAATATTTATTGTTTCCTCAAGAACTAAGCTAAATACAAAAATCTCACAAAGGATAAAAAAAGTTGTTATTTCAATAGTTCAATCTAATAAATATATCGATAAATTTACCCACTGTGACTTCACTGGAAATATTATATCGAATCTAATTGCACTAGAAGAAGCTCCATATCACTATTAACAAAACCATGTTTTATTGAAATTGCTGGAAGATTGAGAAATGAATAGAAACATGATTTTTCATGGAAATATTAATACCCTGTATCACGAAAACGAAGCAAGTTAGGACACATGTTTGTATGAATTTTATTTCCTGAAATATAACAAGGAATCACCCCTTGAATTTTTTAGGTGTTATTTAGAAACACCCTGTATGTTGTGGGTTTTTGTGAAGACTTTTTAGGGACACCATGTGTAATAAACATAAGATTGGTCCTCGAACAGATCCTTGAGGAACATCTTCAGTCATCTGTAGTCTATATGAGACTCCGAGTTGGTAGATTCTGTACTGATCGTCCTATTTTGTAGATACGAATCGAAAAGGTTCCTTATCATAACTATCATGCCGAAATATTCCCCGGTTCCAGATACGAACAGGGCGGGGAAAGTCCCTCGAGTCCCTCGAGGACCCCGCTGAACGCACGCACCACACCTTCGGCGCAGACCACGCCCACGTTCACGCCCCCACCTTCTACTACCAGCAGCCGGTGGGCTGGCGCATCCGGTCCTACGACGACGGCGACATCACGCCCACCAACGAGACGGGGGCGGGGTACGAGGGGGGCGGCACGCTGCCCAGACCGAGAGGTATGCCTTTTTTCATTGAATTTCTCAAATAGAATCATCACTCAAATACTTTTCGATTTCACATTTTTTTAGAATTTTTCGGTCGATTTTTAGGTGCTAAAATCATCAATAATGCCACGGTAATTTTCAAACGGATAGAAATTTACCGCAAGTAAAAACTGATGTCACGATTTCGTGAGTAGGGGCAGACTAAAGCACAGTTGCCATGTGTTGAAATACGGTTGGAAACTTCAGAAATATTACTTATTTAAACAATAATTAATTCTCAATTATGTATTGGTAATATTCCTATTCAGCAATACGAAATCAATTGTTTCAAAATGTCCCCTTATGATTTGTGGCGCTTCTAATACATTTGTGTAAATAGTACCTAATTATATCAATTCACACTAGAGGACATTTGAAGCGGTGAACGTGACAACACCGCCGGCACGACTTGTGGACGTGGTCTTGTCCCTTCTCAGCATTCAGCACAATATTGCCAAGTCTCCAACATTTACATGAAATTTTGTTATGGAGCATTAGAAATATTTGGACATGCTGGTTGCTTGAAAGAGTCAAGAATGAACTGTAATATCATGGGTTCCTCCTATTATAGGTACACTACACTGTTTTACCACTAACCAAACCGATTTTTTAACGCCTCGACACGTGTTTCGCTAACTATGTTAGCATCTTCAGGAGAAGATTTAGATCAGTTTTAATATTCTCCTGAAGATGCTAACATAGTTAGCGAAACACGTGTCGAGGCGTTAAAAAATCGGTTTGGTTAGTGGCAAAACAGTGTAGTGTATTATCGTGCCAAAGGTTCCAGTCTTCGATATATCCTCCTATCATGTTTCATTCGACGACAGGGCTCTTAAATCTTTTCGATAACTTGATTATAATTGGTGACTTGGCAACCTTGCTTCGTGAATGGGAATGGATAGATATTCAATGTAATCCTTCTGTTTAATATTTGACATTCATCATACAGAGCGTGGAAATGAATTCTGATCCATCACGAATCTGTGATTAGAGGTCTATAAAAATGACAAGTTTCCATCGTTCAAGTTTGAACGCCTCGATTGGGTATGAAAGTGTTGAAAAGGAATATTCTCAGATAAATTATGAACATAAAAAAACGGATATATATATACAGGGTGGGTCACGGTGGATGGCCTATTAGAAGGATCTGGAGAACGAAAAAATAGAACATTCTGAAAATTAGGATGCTTCGATAATTGAACATTCTCTATTCGTCTAAAATGTTTTCATCGATACAGTGTTGCCACTTCTATCAGAAACAACTAGCAACTTTGTTATTTGTTGATTTCATCGATGTATCATACTTGCAACTGGAGCTGAATAACCGATACTTCAGGGTCAAATATGCAGGAAACTGTTCAGAGGAATAACATTGCGCTAACTTTGGAGCCCCACATTTTAGGAATTTCCTGTCGTGCGCTCCAAGAGATAGAAAAAAAATAGGTTTAGCTCGGTATTGACTTGATTCGATTCGATCCTAGGCGTCATCCGGCCGCGCCCCATCGCCAAGATCGCCGCCAAGGCCAGGGAGGTGGCGCGCGATGCGTTCACGCTCGAGAAGCCCGAGTACTACGGCAGCCCCGTGACGGGCAGGAAGGCGCCGCCCCATCCGCCGAAGAGGCGGGACAGCGAGGGGGGCGAGTCCACCACCACCACGGTGGAGATCCATCACGTGCAGGCCTGCGCGAGGAAAGAGAAGAATGGTAAGGGCATAGGTCGGAAGCAGGGCAGGTCACTGCGGTAAAATTGAAAACTGAATTCACTATGTGGTGCAGAAAAAACTCCCTGATAGTAAACTCTACTAAGACTGTGGTCATGCAGCTCTCTCCAAGGAACGAATTAACAAATAACTTCACTGTGAAAGTAGAAAGAGAGGATATCCCTCCATCTGTTGTAACAAAAATTTCTAGGTGTAATACTTGACAGTAATGTAAGTTGGGCTTCAAACATCGAATTTGTTTGTAAAAATAAAAACATGGCATACTATGCTATACTACAACTCAAGACTGTATTCAATATCAAACAACTTCTCCTAGTCTACTATTCACTTGTATAATCCCATCTATCATATAACGTTGTTCTGTGGGGTAAAGTACCAAATGTGAAAAGAATTTGTATTGCACAGAAACGAATTATCAGATTGATTTTCAATCTAAATTTCAAGCAAACCTGTTGAGAACATTTTAAACAACATGAAATTTTAACATTGCCGTCGATATATATCTCCAAATGCATCAAATGGTCACTGAGAAGCTAGTAAATCTTTCTTTTAGGCTCTCTGATAGGACAATTCTTTAAACGCAGTGACATTTTGAGGCAAATTCATATTTTCATTTTATAGAAACGAGGAGAGAAAATCGCAAAAAATCAAGTAAAATGAATGTACCACCTCCTCGATTAACCTACAGACAGTATTTGACAATAATGACATTTTCAGCTGTAAATTTTCCAGCGTCCAGCCCGCTGCCGCTGCCCGCGTACCCCAGCTCCGACAGCCTGAGCATCTCACTGGACGGGCAGGGCGACCTGCCGCTGCCCCCGCCGCCCGCCCCTGGCACGCCGCCTGGCGCCGCCCAGAGCAAGCTGAACTCGTCGCAGTCGTGGGGCGCCGAGGAGCAGGAGCTGATCCAGACGTTGGCGTTGCAGCACCGGAACGGGTCCGATGCAAGTTTCAAGGTGAGGAGGCGGTTTAATCAATTCATAATTTTCTGCATTCTTTTTTTTGTGTTACGAATAATAATAATATTCATTCCATTATATAAGCAGCTTATATAAGCAGCACACTAGAATAGGATATTTAGTTTTAATCTTCTCTTGAAGATGCTAACATTGTTAGCGAAACACGTGTCGAGGCGTTAAAAAATCGGTTTGGTTAGTGGTAAAACAGTGTAGTGTATTATAGGTATAATAAAGATAGGTCGATGTTGCTTTAACACACTTAAGTGGTTATTATAATTTTGTTTTGATATTTCTTTCATATATTTTGAACGTATGATCCGCGATCAAAGACACTAAACGGCGCACGCCTCAGTAATGTGGCCAATCGGAGGATTTTTCCGAACCGAAGTACCCGAGGACAGAGCAGAAATACGAGTACGCTAGGTACTACCGCAATAACTTTTTACTGGCGCGAACACGAGATTTTTCTACATACAAAAGTGAACACCAGTCTATGGCGTCCACTGGAGGTGAGTCCGTTTAGTGACCTCGCTTTATTTCGGAGTTATTGTCAATTTTATACAGTCCAAACCACTTGAGAATTATCGACGAAACAGTCGATAATTAGCTGGTAAATTTATATCTCCTTTTTTATAAATTGGTGATACTCTGGATATTTTAAATATATCTGGGAAATAACCATTGTTCATGCATGTGTTTATAAGAGTTGCAATTGGCTGATCAAGTATGTCAACAGCTATTTGGCATTAAAACAATAACAATCCCTTGTATTCGAGTTCTTAAGATTTCCAACAATAGAGCGAACCTCCTGTGCATCTGTTGGATGCAGATAAAATGTCGTATGATTTGCAGGGATTTTATTACGCCAGCAAAACCGGGCGGTAAAGTTCTACTTTAGTGCTACTTTACGCCCGGTCGTGCATAAAATATATTTCTGTTTCAGTCGAGTTCCAGCACAGAATCAGATTCGCTGCCCTTCGCCAACGAGAATGCCGGCACGATCCGAACGCGCGCTGGCGCCAAACAAGTTGAGTTCTCCTCTCCGAAGCCGCGCTCCTCCACCTCCTCCTCCTCCTCAATTGCCGGTCTGCCTCCTCATCCGTCCCCTACGCCCGGTAGACAACAACAGCAGCAGCAACAGCAGGTAAACAACAATATTTGTTCTTGTTCTCGAGAACCAATCAGAATCGACCATTTTCACGGCTTCTTTTGAATTACAGCGATACTTTTTGTTTACAAAGTTTTATCGGACTTGCTCTAGTATCACTTGTGGTATTACATATGATAATATAATGAAGCGAGTCAAATCTTATAATATCCCCAAATATTTTTCAATTTGTTTGATTTTTTGAATATTTTCCTTGACATGCAACATTTACAATACATAAAATAATTTACTTTGAGGCACTAGTACTCCTACCACCGCATATAAATTATATCTGTTCTTTATACTTTCGTGAAGCTATATTCCTTATTGGAATCCCGTATACATATACCAAGAACACGAAATCTAACTACAGAGAAGTTTATAAAGAATATGTTGAAAATATTTGCCATGCAATATCAATTCTATAGAATCTTGATAAGTAAATAACTCACTTTTCATCACAGCTTTGATATCAATAAGTGGAGTACAACTTGTCAAATTTGTGATGAAATCTATTGTAAGGTCAAAGCTTAGAACCACTGATATTCAATTATTATTCACTGTGATCTTGAAAACTCTAAATGCACTTTGTATTATTACAAAGGTCCAAAATACATTATTCATTCTCCCACAAACTAACGAATTATGACTGTCGTCATCTCTTCATGAAACATATATGCATTTTTCTGGAAGGAATGAATATATAACTCACTAAACCTCTTACAAATATCAAAGTGCACTTTTAATTCAGGTGCAACTTGTCAAATTTGCGATAAAAACTTTGGTAAAGATATGGGTCGAAGTCCATAACCACTGTTGCTCAACAGGTAGGAATATTCATTGTGGATTTGAACATTTTGAACGAAGTGCATAAATTTATCACCGCATTTTTTCACAATGTAGCAAATTATGACTATCATTATTTTTGTGAAGATAATGAACGGATCTCACACACCCACTCGTATAGATACACAAAATAACTGTCGATTGTGGTACAACTTTTGGAAATTGTGATGAAATCTATTTGGGAAGGTGAACTCCATAACCACTGTTGCTCAACATGGTGCTCATTGTGGATTCAAACATTCACAAGTGAGTCCTAAATCCATTCCCGTATTTTTTCACAACCTAACAAATTATGACAGTCATTTTCTTATAGAATTACATAGACCGATCAGAGACAAGTTTTTTATAATTTTAATCCCCAAAAATTCTCTTCTTGAGAGTGATATAACATTTTGAATGGAATATAAATTCGCTATAAAAAACCTAAAACCTCACATGAAGCTTTTATATGGGCACTGTTGGAGCATCGTTGTGACTCCTTATCTCAAATACCTACATGTAAAAAATATCGGTCACATAATAGTCAGATGATAATCATAAATTCCCAAGCGTGAAATCGTTTTTTTGTGACTTATCGTCTTGCAAATAATAACATTTGGAAGTAGTAATCCTGATGATGATAATAACAAAAGGTGTCTTTTTGTTTCAGGCTGGTAGGAACCAACGGACAGAACCAGTAGATGTCCTAAATGACATCGGGAACATGTTGGCCAACCTCACCGACGAGCTAGACGCCATGTTAGAGGAGGAGAAGCGACAGCAGTAATTATATACGGGATGTTGATCAATGACGGGTAGTCTATTTCAAAACGTGATTTTGTGAATGGAAGCCACAAAAACTAATAATTGCTTCTGTTCTACCTCATTTCCTTATTGGTACAGGTGCAGTTAACGTCCAAGACTACGTACTGAATCAGGTGAAAATGAAATGTGCATGATGAATGATTATATGAAATTATGGAACCCACCTGTAGCAATTATCGAATTTAACTACTAAGTAGTTGAGAATATTGAATTATTCTTGAATTGTAATATTGGTCTTCACGTTTCCAAATTGTTTTTCTGAAAAAATCATGACGATAAGATATATTTACTCCAGAAAACTCATTTCAAAAACAAAAAATAATTGAAAAATTGCATGAATAATAACAATATAGTTTGAAAAACTATCTGGGCTGCTGAAAGACTGTGAAACTATATGTTGGCCAATGAGAATATCCAACAGCTTCAGAGCTACTTGGAATTGAGTACTGATAGTTATTCTTGAAGTTCATATAATGTATGATATGGCGAAGAAACATTGGACTGGACTGGACTGAATTTGATCAACAATTCGTATGGATAAGACTGAACATCAATGTTATAATTTCATATATATTTTTGTAAAGAAGTTTCCCATTGGCTTCTATATCCAGTAGGAGGTTTTCTATTGTAGCTGGAATATTTCAATTTACTGTATTTTTTTCATAGATATTTATATTGAGTTGTATGTATATAATAGGGAGATTTATTTCATTGTGTAAATAGTTATTTTGAATAGGAATTTATATTGTAAATATGTACAATTTTTTCCATTTATGTTATATTGATTTTAATCATTATATTAATTACAGTTTGCCTTCATGGCATGAATGTTTTACTTAACTTGGGGGTTTTAAGGGGTCCATTTTGTGATCTCTATGATTATTGAATGTATATTTTACATTATTGTGCTACTTCTGTTTTTCAGTAGTCAGGAGTGATTTTCATCAGCTTACTTACTAACTAAGCTCATGAAATTGCATTTGTGGTTGTCAAAAACATACACTGTTCTGTAACATCATTTCACTATCTTAGCCTGAAAGACACTTTCAAGACCATATAATGCTGTCATATTTTTTGTCCCATATCTTCCAAGTCTAGATTATTATTGATTCCATCGCTAGCTCAATTGCTTTTCTAGTTCATGAAGAATTAATATAACATCAACTCTTAAAGTTCATTGACACGTTTGAGCAGTTCAATTGAAAACAGACCTATTCACAACTACATAGCGCGGCAGCAAAACTTTCTATTTTCAAAACTTGATAACCCATTGTATGTATTATTATTCATTTTTTCATTTATTGAATTAGGTAAAAATCTACATTTTCTCATCGAATACATGTATGTATATTTCATATTGTATCTCCTCCACATGGATTAGTATGAAAGCTCTGGAGTGCCAATGGAAAAAATAAAAATTCGACCTAACAAGACTAAATTTCGAGTTACTAAGACGAAATTTCGACTTCCTGAGTCGAAATTTCGACTTTTGATTTTTTTCCACAGGCACTCCTGAGCTTTCGTAATCAATTCATACAATGATGAGAATAAATTGAGATGAAGAAAAATAGAGTTGATAAAAAAAGAGTCCCAGCATGACAAACGCCAGAAATCGGTTAACTCTGTGTATGTAGAATGGTGGAAGTCACCTATCTGATTTGATCTTCAAAACTATATGCAAAACAAAACTTCAGTTATGCGCCTACATTATAAAGAACAAATAAGAATGTTCTGATTTATAGGAAGGGTTTTGTTAAGTTTTGAAGAGAGGAAGTTATATGCTGCCGCAGTTCAGGAGTTTAAGAAACGGAAAACTGTTCAAGTGTGTCGGTCGAATTAAGAAGAACTCTTTGTGTGTCCATCATTTTAGTTTTTTGAAAGGATGAGTTTAAGAAAATATTTTAGATGAATGTAAATAGAATTTGTACTGAGGGATATAGCATATAGAGCTGAGTAATGAAATAAATCTAGCAAATACTTTTGTACAAAGCCATCTTTTAGTATACGGATCTAGAGCATTTAGATTAGAAGTTGGTGTTTAATTTCCTTTACACCATGAAATCGCAACGTTAGTCTCATATTTTTCAAATGATTTGAGAAGACTGATAGATCGATTTTGAAATTGAAACGTTTTTTGTGTGGGTATACTGAGTAATTGTCCAAGTGCCATAATATATTATATACTGAAGCCTATTATCCTAAACAGTAGATCGAATAACAGTGAGTCTGACTTAACTTCCAGTGTCCACACAAAATTAGGTTCATGACACAATAATTTTTCAATGTGTTTTCATAATAATTTCCTTATTGAATTGCCATTTTTGCAATGTTATTTGTAATAAAATGTTATTAATGTGCTACTTAAATAGTTTATATTGCAATTACCTATGTTGTTATTTGTCATAGCATTTTTCTTAGTAATATAGCTGTTAATATTTCCGAATCTTATCTTTCATACTCCTCATTTTATTTTATATTTTGCATCAGTTAACTGTTAACATTTATGAATATAGATCAAACAATAAAGTGGAATATTATCATTCATGGTTTCATTGATTTTCCATTCAACGATTATTCAAACCTGTTTCTCAGCAGCTCTACAGTGTGACCAAGATATAATAAGGTTGAACGGCATGGGGATCTCAGAAACGGGAGGAGATACGAATTCGGTTGAATGGGAAAAAAGTTGGGCATTGAGAGTCATGCCAATAACTGCCGTCGAAAATATTGTTTACAGTTTTTCACTTATATTGAGAGATGTGAATTTGTGGAAAATCGCTATTTCATATTTCAGATAACACTGATCTCCTTGAGAACTGACGGCCGACTATCGAAATGTAATGCTTTCTCATCGTCGAGGTGTCCAGCCTACACATTACCGGCGATTAAATTATTGACTTGAAAGTGCTACAGCGGCAACAAATTTCAATGAACCATTGATGGGAGCGCTATCAGCCACCAACGTATATGCGCTTGCAAATCCGTATCAAGGATGATGAGTTTTTCGAGCACTTTCCACGAATCTCTGACCGCGAATTACAAACTGTGCGCATTTTAATTTTGTAGTTCGCGGTCAACCTTCAATGACGTTAGTAATGACAACGTTGCATATATGGTTGTAAATAAATGTTGTTACATGCATTATTTTCATTTTTATAACTGATGTTCTGCGAAAAGGATAATATTAGAATAACATCCAGTGACTAGTAGAAACTGGCCAATTCCCAAGCACGAATTCAATCTGACCTGAATTGAGGCAAAGAGACAGGGCGTAACAAATGTTGTGCCTAAAAGATTGTGCCATAACTCAATCTGGTTCTTGGCACTGTACACGTTTTGTTGTGCATTCAAACCCCATTTCTGAAAACTGGAATGACAAATAAAAGTGACTTGTGATTATTATTATGACGTGAGAATTGACGATTAAAAGAAGAAATTAACAGCATTTATCGCATATACAAGCTTATAATGAATGGAAATTGGAAAGAACCACAGGAAAACTGGCATTCCTCCATCTAAGGCATTGATGTAGGATGTAGGTATTCTAAGAATTCATCATAATTCTCAAAAGTTGAAAAGAATCATGTATATCAAATTTCAGTCTATAATGGTCTATATCAATTTTTGATTCATGGGAGTAAAAGCAGAATGATGGAAATGGTAGAATTGTTACATAACAGAGACAAATACGAGGACAAATATAATATGATAAGATTTTGAGGATGAAAATATCAAATGTTTCTACAGTTCCAAATGTTCGCATTGTCTGCCCGATCACTCCGTTTTCTTGGGCCCACTCATTCCATCACTTCCGGAATGGCACAACGCACAACATTGGCACAACAAAACGTGGTGAGGTGACATGACAGTTGACATTCGTTGACACTTTTTTGACTCCTGACGGCTGACCTGACTGATGAATGACAAGGATGACTAATGATTAGATTGATAGATGATAGCAATAATAGTTTTATTGTTTATTATTGTGTGTTGTGTGTTGTGTGCATCACATAGGAATTAAAAAAAAATTAAATATTCATAAAATAAAAAATAAATGCAGAATGAAGCGAGATCGGTTCATATTACCATATATCATTTTCAACATTTTGTTATTTGTATCAGGTATGTTCTAAATATGCTTTATTATATTTTATTTAAATGAAGTTGCCCTTTTAGGAAATTCCTGTTCCTAGGTGTTGTGAATGATTAATTTTATGAATATTCATGATATTAAATTCATGTCCACGAACTCGGGGTATATTTTACAAACAGGACATTTACTAGTTTCTGATTCGAATTTTTCAATAACAATATCTTGATTATTTTTCCTTGAGTTCACTGTCTTCTCATGCATAGATATGTTTTCCAGTTAATGGTTATCAAGTGACATTAAAAGGTGATGGACCAATAGTAGCTGGTGCAACAATAAATTTTGTTGTAACAATTCAGGATGGAAATGATTTAGCCACAGGCACCTTGTTCAAGTATGATTGGGAAGATAGTGGTATACCTCAACACACAAAACAAGTGAGTTTGAAATATGATTTCACATATCTGTGATATTATTAATCCAAAATCTTCAGTCAGAAAACCAGAATGCTACAGATTCATGGAGCATCACATATAATGCTAGTATTTATCCAGTTGGACCATATCTTACTCAAGTGGCAGTAAAAAAATGTGTAATATATGAAACTTTTTGCTATCAAATTGGATCAGCCCGAATTTTTTTTGATATAACAGGTATGTATATAAAAATTTAATGGTTGAAACTATGATGCTAGATACTCAGTCTACCAGATCTTTGATACCAATATTTTTTCAAGGTACTTTGAATGGAAAATTGAACCTGCAACAAATGAATCTAACAAGACCAGATCATTATGTTTCTAGTAAAGAAACTGTCACACACATAGTGGAGTTCAAGAAATCTGACAAAGAATATATAAGTAAAGCTCCAACTGTTCTGACATACTGGTTTGTAGACTGCACCTATTATGGGATCACAACAGATTTTGCATTTCCCTTCAATTACACTACACCTGATGAAAGCCATATAGTTGAAGCACTAGTTATGGCTGACTTCACTCCATTACCTCCTTCTACAACAGTACCTCCTAGCACTACCACTACCAAAACAACAACTACTACAACAACAAAGTCTACTACAACTACTTCAACTCTCAAACCAACTACAATTAAGCCTAATGTCACCACATCATCACCTAAGATCACCACTATTGGATCCAATTCAACTACAACAGCCATAAAAACTGTTATCAAGAGAAGCATGGCAAACAATTTTAGTCAAAAAGTTGTTTCCAAGATTAAAGTACCAGTTAATGGTAACCTGGCACCATATAATGGTTCATTTCCTTTTGTCTGTAATGGTTCCCAAGTACCTACAGATCCATTGAAGAGCTATGGATATTTTTCTAAGTCAGTCAATGTGAAAGGTAAGTAGGAACCTCCATAGGGACCATATATGTGCCATCACTTTGCTGGAATAATTCACCACTATAAATATGTGGATGCAATTTTTAACTGAGATTACTAATACTTTGAAACTTTCAGTACCTGTGGCTAAAATGAAAATCAGGTCATTCATAATTCACCATGTTCATGTTTGTTTTGAATGTAAATTGATATTGTGATGTAGGATGTATTTTATCTTCTTTTTATGTCAAGGAGGTCAATTATAATGATTCAATATTTGTTTTGAAATATTGAAAGAACTCACACTGGTCCTCCTAATGCAATTCAAAGGATTATCATTGCCTTCCTGTGGAATTGATAAAATTTTTGATATGTGTAGTTCAAGTTATTCTGACCAAAGGTCTAACTACCTCTATGATTAGTTCTCATGCCAGAGGATGCTAAAGACAGTGAAGACTATGTCAATTTTTCTCCCTTTTTTGTTTTGTTTACTTGGAACCATGCATTCCTATGGTATATCAATGTCAAGGATGCATTCCCAATTTGTTTTTCTATCCATGGGAGGAAATATTATTTTCCTCCTGTGGGAAATGGTTCGTTTCCTCAATTGAGGGAGGAAACCACATGAGCAAACTCCTACTTTTGATCCAATGAGTAGATAAATATTTTCTTTCCCATTGAATTATTGAATAGTATCATTATGCTCAATTATATCTTAGCCATTATAGCTTTTTTTGTTACCTCTTGGAGAAAATTTCGATATTGATGAACACTTACTATATTATATCATACTGCAAAAAAAAACAAGATACACTCTTCAGGTACCTCTAGCTCCATCATTATGAATAGTGGGAGATGTTCCATTGGACTAAGGGCCAGTTGTATCATTATTCTAATATATATATTCAATTTCCATATCTGCCCACATTTGGTATTGTAATTACCAAAGGAATTACAATGAAATTAAACAGAAAGAACTTCATGAAAAATTATGAATTTGATAAGTGACATTGGAGTTCACCCAGTACAATACAGTAAATTTGTTCAGATGATTCACTCAGAGGACTACTCAGATCAAAGTGCTATGTGATATTGATAAAAATGACAGGTGAAATATATTCTGTGACCTTGTGTACTTCCATTTTATTTTTTCCAAGACAATATAATTACTAAAAAATTTCAGAAGTAGGCAAAGTATGGCACTTTCACAGTATTCTCAATATCTCCCAAAATCGAGCCCAAAATTGTCTAAATTCAAATCACGTTTATATTATAGCCCCATTATCCAAAGTTAATGTCACTGGCAATAACTGGATACAACCAGGAGATCTTTTGTCACTAAAAATAAGCTGTTCTGGATCGAAAAATATTGAGTATTGTGTGGAATACCACAGAGGACAGTATAATGTTACTGGCAATGAATCATGCTATGTTTATGAACAACTTGACTCCTGTGATTTCAGTATACAACGATTTCTGTCACTTCCTAAAAATACGATTGTTATCATCATCAAGAATGATGTCAGTAAAGTTGTTACACCAGTAACAGTCAACATTTATAAGGGTAAGTCTTATCCATGGCTTTCAATATTAAAATTGTGTTGCAGATGGTTCACTTATTGATATTATTGTCAAGATTCATTTAAAATATACCTATTTATATTTATTCAATGACCACTGAAATGACTGATTTGAGATATCACAACAGAATATATCTTTGATGTAATAATTGACAATTGAAATGAAGATATGAGTTGAACTCTTCAGCTGGTCCATTCAAATATATTTATTGAATAGTTCTCACTTCACCTGTATACATGGTGTCCCTGAAAGGTATGTACAAAATCTCAGCACATATTCCTGAGGTCAAAATAAACCGTTTTAAACCAACTTACCTCTGTCCGAAATTGCTCCGTTTCCGAGATACAGGGTGGTGAAGTTGAAAAATGAAAATCGAATTTTTCAGAATATATGAACATTATCGAACGTTTTACTTCCAAAATTGGTAGACGGGTGGTATTTTGGGATGAGATATCCGAATACAGACACTTTTTCACTGTGACCATTCAAGGGCTCTTACCAATCACTTCTTATGATTTATGAATGACCATAACTTGTTTATCACTGTAGTTTTAACATTTTTCGTAAAAGGAATAATTTTTCGAATATATTTAAGCAAAATAGGTCAAAATCCGCTAAAGGGAGCTGTTTTTGAGATATTGCAGTTTTTAATGTTCCATGCCGCATCAGAATATTTAAATTAAAACATTTGTTATCTTTGTGGATGTAATTTGGGCAGTGAATTAGCAGTGCAATAATGTATTTCTCAAAATACCTACTTTTTTAGAGTGTTCTTGTCGATTTTCATTTCTTAGCTTCACCACATTGTATCTCGGAAATGAAGCTATTTTGGAATGAGCTAAGTTGGTTTAAATCGGCTTATTTTGACCTCAGGAGTATGTGCTAAGTAAGATTTTGTACAGACATTTTAGGGGTATACAGTGAGTCAAATGTGTGGAATAAATTAAATTTTTCAAGAAACAGTGACTTTAGAGACTAATACCTAAACATCAGGTCGATTTTCATTTTCAAATTGTATGGTCAAATTTTGAGTGGTGATTCAATTCTAGATTTAAAAAAATGATATTAAACTATCTAATAATACATTTCAACTAGTCACCTACTCCGAGACCTCACCATTCATATAACAATTGTTAATTTTTTTTTCAGTTAAAAAGCAAAGCCAATTATCTGTAATTGTAGTACCTGTATCTTTCTGTTTGGTAGCAGTTGTCATGATAGTTTTTGGAGTTGCTTACTACATCCAGAATCGTTCTCGGTAAGTAGTATTTTCCTTCACTTTCAATACTTTCTGGGAAGCAAAATAGACTGATATACAAATTATATTGTCATTCCTTTCTCGCACAAGACTTCCGAAGACTTCTGATGGTTGCTCGTAAGGGGGCAACCGAATGACGGATAGAACAATTTTAGAACAATTTTAGAACAATATGATTTCTAGTTCTCTATCAATGCTTTCAGATTCATAATTGAGGTGGCAGATTTCAATTTTGGCCACCACTACAGTGATATGGAGTACAAGACTTTTAGAGAGAGACTTCGAGATTCTATAGTCAATGCGTTTTCCAGAGGGCCAACTCCCAGTACTTCAGAAGTGCCTGTTTGGCCTCCAGGCCAGAAATATGGCAACATGACATAAAGGTGATATGTTAGAAGTGAAGGATTTTATGTTGTTAGGGTTCACCAAGAGTTTACTGAACAATATGATACAAAATATTTTTATGGTTTTTTGCTTAAGTACCTAGAGAGGAATGGTTATTTTCATTTTTCTGATGAATTAATATGGTTATTCAGTCCTAGTAATTAAATGAAAAGCTGGTGAAATACGAATATATGTTTACTCAAAATACCATAATTCAGAGAAGTCAGAATATTATTCTCTGTATTCCAGCTATCAGCATCCTCATAAGAGCTGAAAGGAAAATGAAGTAACTATATCAGTCGCCTGAATACTTTCTTAGGCTTTTCTAAATATCATTGTGGTATTTTGGGTAAACATTCATCATTTGAGTATTTGAAACATTTCGAACACAATATCCCAAACTTCCCATCATTTCCAGGTGAGATTTCCATGAAATAAACCTACTTTGATCAAAATGAAAATAAACATTCAAATTATAATTGTGTTATTCCACAATAGCGTGGAAACCATATTATATTATGTGTATATTGACAATTTTATTGTGATTTTATATATTTTTTGTATAGTAACCATAAGTAATTTTATATTTTTATCATTAAATGGGCTAAGTATATGAAAAGTACTGAAATTATATATATAATTATACATACTTACCTACCTAATCAGTTATTGTCATGAGATTAAAAATGCATATTTTCCTCATCTGAAATAATTATTATTGGAAAACAAAGAAATTATTTATGAATTCGTGATGTATATATTTTGACTCATGTTGTTGAATACTGGTTTGAATTTAGAATTGTTGGTCTGGATATTATTGTTGTTATGTGTATATTTTGAATCTAAATACCTACCTACTTATTCTTTTTTGAAGTAGCAAAGAAACATGTTTGAATATATTCAATAAATATGTATTCTATAGAGGGTGATGATTTATTTTTACCCGTTATATTTACAGAACACTGCAGAAAATATTAGTTACACATCATCAAGGCAACACAAGAGACAGTTTGGAATTCTATTGATTCTTCCACATGGCACCATCTATCAGTTACAGATGAAACTTGGGCCAAGGAAGGAAAACTTCATTATTTTCGTCATTATTATTGTTCTGTTACTTTTAAGTTATCGCTGGCTTTGTGCCTGACGAAACACAGTTCCGGGTTTGATTTTGGAGTTGTTCTTCTCATAGGCAGGTTGCAGACCAATGCTGATGACGCCATCTCGCCAAATGGGCGTGAACACCTTAGTAGAACTTTTAACTCAAACCATATATGTTTATAATGATCTTTTTATACATAAATAATGATGGACATAAATAATAGTACCTTCTGAAATCATACCCCCTTATGACGTAGTAACCTCATCTCGCCATAGTTAAAATAAAATACCAAACGCCAACGGAGACTGAGGCAACTGATATATTAATTCTTTCAACTGTGATCTCGCGCTAATTCACTCTGTCAGAAATCATGTATCATTCATCTCTGTCTGGAATAGTCTTGTTTCAGTATTAGGGTTTTGACGTCACATCATCGCCTCGTTTTCAGAGGTCCGAAAAATCGGGGATTTCAATAATTTTCTATAAAACGTAGGGAGCTCACAGCAATAAGAAACGGTTTGCGGTGGTGAGCTAGTTTGGGTGAGTTCTATCGAATTATGAAATACATTTTTTGCGTGATATAAGCTCATTACACAAGTTGATCAAACGATGTAACAGGCTTAAAAATGGATTTTTTTACCTGCATTTTTATTCCCAGCGAATAACCCTTTCATTTTATAGGAAAGCACTAAAAACTTCAATAGTCCGTCATATTGGGATTCAGAGTCGTGATGTCACATTATTTCCAATTGTTCTCGGCAAGCCCTTTTATTTGATACCCATATATTGCAGAAGTGCAAGAAAAATAACTATTTGGCCATCTTGGATGGTCCGCCATATTGGATTTAGAATGACGTCACATCATTTTTCGAGTAACTCTCAACAATCCCTTTCATTTTATAGATACCCGCATATTCTAGAAGTGCATTGAAAATAACTATTCCGCCATCTTGGATGGTCTGTCATATTGGGTTTAGAATGACGTCACATCATTTTTCGAGTAACTCTCAACAATCCCTTTCATTTGATAGATACAAATATTGTAGAAGTGCATTAAAAATAACTATTCCGCCATCTTGGATGGTCCGCCATATTGGATTTCGTATAACGTCACTTTATTTTTCGAGATGCTCTCAACGAGTCCTTACATTTGATACCGATATTGTAAAAGTTAATTGAAAATAACTATTCCGCCATCTTATCGGATGGTCCACCATATTGGATTTATTGTCACACACCTTATAGTATATTGTCATCAAAACTCAACGTGTATACAAAATTTCAGCTCAATCGGTAAGATATCAACTTCAATATTGAGTTCGAAAAGATTCCAATTCAAGTTCAGATTTCCCAAGTGATACCCCCCAGCGAGCACAAACATTCCTGGGATATTTGAGATGTTTTGAAAATGTTGGCATGAAGGTGTTATTTTGAGACGTAATATGCACTGACCAAAGAGGTCTTTGGAAGATATTGAAGTATTGTTTTTGTTCTTCTGTGGCATTTCATTGTTTGCCTACTGAGAGGTATCCCTGATGGGATGTTTTGGGATGTTTTAGAAATGTAGGCATGAGGATATGTTTTTTTGAGGCGTAATATGCACTTCCCAAAGAGGTCTTATAGAAGGATATTGAAAGTATTGTTTTTGTTCTTTCGTGTTCTTTCTTTGTTTGCCCCACCACAACGTCTCATGCTTACGTCACAATACGATGAATTCTGATTTGTTTTCGATTTTGTTCTTCTTGTTCGCAATTATTGGCATTCGCGTATGCAGCGTGTCACGCTTACATCACGCTGCTAACGAACAGAAAGGAATTTGGTGAAGTTTATTGTGTTAGAAGACTTATTTAGTTTGTAATAATGACCATCAGATGCAAGATGTGTTGTTCGGGGCCTCATTGTAATCAATATATAAAAGTACGAATTTATCAATACACAGCTTCTCCGCAGTTGCAAAATTATGCATTGTGGAGAACATTTCAAAAATTGGGAAACCTATTTCCAATTATATGTCTGTGTGTAGTAAGCACTATTCAGAAACCGATTAAGAAGGTAATTTCATATCAAGAAAATATTTTCATGTTCAATCTATTTTTAATGCATTTTTTCAATCAAGGGAAATGGAATACTAATGCAAAAGTTCATTTTGACAAAAGGCTTCAGAAAATGCTTTAAAAAGAACTAGGGAGAAGGTAGGTAGTTTTGTGACATATCAAGGACATCTCGATAATTGCCGCCTGCGGCGGACATTGGCTGTTCTATAATAGTTCTATTCATGTGTGAACAGAACATCGCAGCCCTAACAACACGAGTACATCCTAGGGACTTCCCAGGGACGTCCCTAATTTCGAATAAGGACATCCCAGGGATGTCTTTTCTGGGACAAAGTACATACTAGGGACGTCCCAGGGACATCCGCTTTCAGACAAAAAGGACATCCAAGGGATGTCCCTCCTGGTACGTCCCTGGGATGTACCGAGTACAAAGAAGGGATATCCCTAGGACGTCCCAAAGATATCCCAGGGACATCCCTTCGACAAAAGAAAAAAAAAAGTAGGTCTAGTTGGGATTGAACCCGGGACCTTCAGCTTATCAGGCACGCACCTTACTCCATTGGCCAATATGCCTTCTGAAGATTCATGTATTGAACAGATTTATAAACAGGACAACTACAGAAACCTGGATAAATAAAACTGTTAGGATTCGGGTATAATTATTATCATTCTTGGGTGTTTGAAAATGAGGGGCATTTACGATCTCTGTTTGAGAAGTTTTGAGACTATATTCTTTATTTTCATCACAATTATTTTCCGGAAGAAATACATTTTCGAAAAATTCGACTCAATATTTTGATGATATTGAATGACTCTCTGATGTGAAGAATAGATATAAGATATTCCAGGGACACGAATGGGATAACCTAGGGATGTACCGGGTGGGATGTCCACTGGACAACTACTGGCGGGACATCCCCTGGATGTCCCAATCATTTCCTTGTACCGCGGGACATATAAAAGGGACGCACCTAGGACATCCCTGTGTTGTTAGGGAGTGGAGGTTCAACGTCTCGAAATCTCGTACTTTTAACATCTCTGAGATGTTTTTGTGCTCGCTGGGCCTTGATTATTTACACTGGTGATATCGAGAAAATGGCACACAATAATACACTATTCTCTTCGTCCATCGATATTTTCATCACGTATAAACTGTTGTTGAAATGAACATTTCATCAAGCTATGTAATATTTTACTTTACGCAGCTGTGGTTACGTAAAGTTAGGCTTTTCATAACTACCGTCAGTTTTGAAAAGTGTCAAATTACATGTCAAAATTAGAAAAATACCTTTATTATTAACTAATAACCAAAAATCTATCATTTCCAATAATTAGAGCTTGGCTAGTGCGTTGATCGCATAGGGACTGTAAATATTTCAATATTTACGTATCCTATGACATTAGCGCTCCCCGTAGCTTTTACTTGTGTAGGGAACGGAAAAATGCATCCCGGAGTAATAAAAATTTGATCATCCCGTAGATGTACGCATAGCGCGGAAACACTTTCTTTTTCCTTTTCTATGCCTTCTGAAAACCTTCGAACTTGTCTGAATAACCGTTCTGGGGTGTTTGTCCGCAGAGCAAATCCCAGCAGGCCAATTTTCTTTTTGCTTTTCGCGACGTCTGGAAATCAGGAAAATCCATAACCGTTCACAGATTATGCACATCTTGAAGTGTCATTTTTATTCTCGATATTCTCACTACAATGCACGCAAAGAACCAATAATTAGCTGGAAATATCAATTATCATTATGATATACAGCAGGGTAACTCGCACGGTCGATGGTACGTTAGACGTTTATGGAGAATGGAACATAGGATCATTCTGAAATTTTGGTTACTCACGTAGTTGCTCTTGGTCT